GACCCCTCTGCCCCTCCTGCCTGCCCTGTGCCTCTCCCTGCCCTGCAGGATGGAGTCAAGGAGGGTAAAGGTGCTGCTGCTCCCCCTGGGGAGAAGGAGGAGGAGGAGAGGTTGGCACTGGGTGTGCACCTGCATTCCTTGCTGCCCTCTGCCAGCTGGGGAGCAGGCAGAGCTGGGCAGGGAGCTGGGGGTGCCCCCATCCCTGGCTCCAGGCCGGACAAGGAGCATTCCCAGCCCAGGAGAGCCACAACAGCTGGGAGAAGAGGGGTGTCCCCCACTCCTCCCTGAGCCCCAGGAAAAGGGGTGCCAAAGGGGTACAAACCTGGGCTAGCACCAGCCAAGAAGGAGGTGCCAATGTGCCCCAGCTGGGGCCCCTGGAGCAGGCACGGGGCTGTTAATTGTCCATTAACAATTAACTCTATTAACCAAGGAGTGGCCTCAGGGGATGCTGCAGAAGGGAGGGGGAGCTGTCCCCATCCTCCTCGGGTGCTGCCAACCGTGGCAACCCTTCCCTGGGAGGGCAGGGCCACCAGCAGCAACCCCGGGCTGCAGAGCTGTGCCCACACAGGTGGGGCTGGGGCTGTCCCAGGGGCTGTCCCCTCACAGCCCCTTTTGGGGGGAGGAGGCTGATGGCCACCCGTCAGTGCTGCTCCCCAGCCTGCAGTCCCTGCTCCTGCCCCTCACAATCTGCAGCCAGGTTTGACCCCTTCCTTCCCAAAGCAGCCCAGCTCCAGGAGGAGGCCCTGAGGAGGCACTGAGACCCCACACTCCCAGGCTGCAGCACCCACCAGCTGAGGGGGGCAGCTCAGCAGCCCAAACCTGCAGTTGTGGGGATGTCAGCCCATGAAAAGGGGCTGGGGCAGGGGTGGGGAGTGGGGTCTGCACTGAGCTTGGAGGGCCTCAGCTTGTTCAAGTTTCCCTGGTGCCTAAGATTTCCTTAGCTTATCACACATCCAATTCCCATCTGTTAACTACTCAGATTTTGGTGCTTCCCTTTGCTGTCAGTGATTTAAGGGTGGGAATGAGCAACACAAAACAAGCCCTGGGGTGAAGGTGCAGAGCAGTGCAGGCCATGGGATGATGGCTGAGGCCCCACCAGCAACCCACCCTGGGACAGCTGTCATCCTTTTGGGGACACACAGCTGGCAAAACCCAGTGCAAGGGACAAGAGAGCAAAGGACAAGCATCCAGCATGGACACACATCGGTGCAGGCCAGTGAAATGGGGAGCCACAGGGTGAGGAAATGAGAGGTAGGATGTGGTAGAATATCAGTAAAAATGGCCCCAGTGGGCTGGAGACTGAGAAGGAAGAAATCCCTGCTGTGAACATCACACTCCTCCCAGCAAAGACCTCGGGATGCTCATGGTGAAGTCCCCAGCTCAAACTGCCACCTCACCTGGGCCAGGAGAGGCTGGGGACAGCTCAGCTGCTGCTGCTGACTGCTCCTGAGCTGTGCTGCAGGGACTGGACACATCCCCAGTGCAGGAAAAGGACCTGGAGGAGCTCACAGCAGGGACTGGACACATCCCCAGTGCAGGAAAAGGACCTGGAGGAGGTCACAGCTGCTCCCTGCCATGACCCTGCTGATGGCTGCCTTGCCCCAGCTGCAGGAAGGGGGCTCCTGTTCTCACAGGAACAACCCCCTGTGTGTGTCAGTGTCCCCAGGGATCCATCCTGGCTGCTGAGATGTAAAGGCCACAGGGAATTACTGAGCTTTATCCTCTGGTTTACCTTCCTTTATCCTTCCTTCATCCTTCCTTCCATCTTTATCCTGTCCTTTATCTTCCAGCCCTGTACAGCTCACAGCCCTGGCACCCTCAGGCTGTGCTCAGCTCTCCTGGCACCTCTCCATCAAGGAAACAACTGAGGAACAGCAAGAACGCCATGACATTGTTGACACAAGGAGAAAAATGGGCAGAACAGTGGTATGCTGGGAGCTGGGAGGCAGGCTGGGCATTTGGAGCAGCTCCAGCCACTTGGTGCCCAAGCTCCTGAAGTCCTTCCCGGAGCAGAGGAGCAGCCAGGCCTGACAGGGCAAAGGTGACACTGCAGAGCACCCTCCTGTCCAGGCAGCAGAGCAGAGCTCAGGGGATGTCACCAGAGCTCAGGGGGTGTCACCAGGGCACAGCCACCCCTGGGTGTCACCCAGGCAGCACAGAACAGACCTCCAGAGGGGCCCCCCTGCCCTGCTGACTGCAGGCTGCACGCCCAGCAAGGCACACAGAGCTCCTCTCCCTGGCCTCTTCTTCACTGGCTGAAGTCAGGATGTGAAACTCCTGCCTGCCCCTTGTCACAGACATCTTTTCATTAAAAATCCTTTCCTTAGGATTTTCCCCCTGAGAAGCTGAGAGGCCTCAGGAACAAAATGTAAACATTGATTATCTGCTGCTGTGGAATGCAACAGGTGCATCTGGGATTGCTCCATGTTGGATGTTTGTAATTAATGGCCAATCACAGTCAGGTGGCTTGGACAGAGAATCTGGGACAGCTGCCTTTGTTATCATTCTTTCCTTTTTTTTTTCTTAGCTTATCTAGCCTTTTGATGCAACCTTTTCTTCTATTCTTTTAGTATAGTTTTAATGTAATATATATCATAAAATAATAAATCAACCCTTCGAAACATGGAGTCAGATCCTCTTCTCCTCCCTCAACATGAGACCCCTGTGAACATGGTCACAGTCCCTCACCCCTGCTTTCCAGAAAGTGCAAGGAGTATTCACCATCCAGGCCCACCACAAGAAAGATGTGTCATTTTGTCACCAATTTATG